AGATATATTATTGCCTAATCGATTGCTCACCACAAGATATGTAAATATTTCTGTTGCTGTGGATCACTGGACATCACTGTTGAAGTGTGGTGTATAGTAAACGTAAACATTTATTTTCGTTCACAGTTATTTTTTTAAATTTTATTATATTATATTATATATATATATATATATAATATATTTTTTTTTCAAAACATTTCTGACAAAGTATAATATATATAATTTTAGAAAACGGTTTTCGAAAATATATATTGTATAGTTTTGAAAATATTTTTAAAATATATATAATATATATTTCGAAAATATTTTGAAAATATTTATATATTATATAGTTTTTAAAAGTCATTTTAAAATATATATATATAATATAATTTTTAAAACATTTCAAAAATTATATAATATGTAGTTTTTGAAACATTTGTGAAAACATATATATTATATAGTTTTGAAAATATTTTTGAAAACATTTATATATTATATAGTTTTTAAAATATTTTTTAAAAACTTATATAATACATAATTTTGAAAACATTTTGAAAACATTTATATATTATATAATTTTTAAAAGCATTTTGAAATTATATATTATATGTTTTTGAAATTACTTTTTTATATTTATTTATTTATTATTATTATTATTTCTTTTATTTCTTTTTTTTTTTATTTATTTTGTTTTGTTTCAGGTCCAAAATGAGGTCCAAACAAGTCTGAGAACTGGGCTTGAACCAGCCCAGCAATATGTTAGGGTTTCACATCCAGTTTCAATCAAGGTGCCGCACGACCAGGGAAACCACGGGCCACGCAAAACAGATGGTTAATAGTGCCAACGACGGTCGAGATCCCGGGACTAACCCATCCCTGGGTGACCGGTCACGAGCGCCCCTATTTCGGGACCACAACGGCCGAAAAAGGCCTATAAATACCAAGCATCAACATGGCCAAAGGGAGACAACCAATATCATCAACTCACGAGAGAGCCAACCAGCCACAAGAACAGTACCCAAAATCGACAAAGAGACAATAGCAGAAAATACCCACAACTTACCAATCTCTTAGCATCATTCACTCTCTGTTTAGATGCTTCAGATGTAAACAAACTATCATATAATGTTGCAACACGATATACCATATCCAACACCAACAGATACCAATGTGAATTATGGTAGTTTATTGTGATAATGATCTGCAACAAATTTCACACCCAATTTGACAAAATTCAACACTCTATATCCGAAAACATCATTTGCAATTCGTATAGTGTCTTACCTTCTCACAGTCGGTGAATTTCATATAGTTACACAATATGAATTCACCCTTTTAATGATGCACCTTGTCGACACTTCCTATATTTTTTAACAATATATAATGTTATAGTTCTTATATATTTTGTATCAACATATTTACAAGTTTAATGAATACCTTCTTTTCATGTGCTTTCCTCAATTCTTTGTATTCTTCACTATCCATCTTTGACTGTGCGATGTAAAGTTCCTTATCAGCATCACTCTTCGAATTCCATTTCTCCAACACATCATTTCTCACCTAATATTAAGCATAAACGTTTCTTAATCAATATATTAAAGCTAAATAATACTCAATGACAATTTCAATTTACATACCAAACCGATGTTTTCGTCACTTTCCTTCATCCTTTGGTATTCAGACATACTGTAACATTTAAAATTTGTAATCAATTTAAAGTTATTAAATACTTTAATTCAATTACCATTTCAACAATAATAACAAAAAGACATTGATACTTACTAGAAGTACATATATCTACCATTTGGTTGCTTTCGAGTCTCGGCCTCAATTTTAAAGTCATCTGCGCCACTAACAATTTTTCCACCCATTGACTTCATTTTTCTTCATATATCAGTTTACGCAAATCAAATCAAATACTTGTTACATACACTTTATTCAATATACAAATATAGATAACTACTCTTGTGGTAAAACGATTTTCTTCAAAAGAATTTGAATGGCCACTACAAAATGTGTCGGCACATTTATACAACCTAAAATATAATTTTCTACCTATAATATTATATATAGGTATCCATATTTATTTTCTACCTATAATATTATATAATCGGTCCCAAATCCTTTTTAGCTTCGATTCAAAATCCCCAAACCAAACCCAAAAACCCTAATCCCTATTTCTTTCAAACGAATGAGAACACTCAATACTCCAACTATCGCACATTTATACAACCTATATTATCATTTTCTATCTATAATATTTAATAAAAGTATCGATATTTATATTTCACCTAGAATATCACTTTCTACCTGTAATCTGTCCCAAATGTTTCTTTACTCCAAAACCCCAAACAACATAAAAATCCTATTTCTGATTACTGTAATAATAAAAAAACTAGGGTTTCGACAACGTACTTTTCGATTCGACTACAGCAACAAACAAACAAACTTCGCTTTAGAAACGCCTTCTGAAATGCAACAATAATTACGCTTCGATTTCAAAAACTCGTCTGTTCTATCTATTTTAAGAGGATATTTAACTATGCCCTTTATATTTTCATGGATATGTTATTTATATTTAATTGATACAACTACAATAGTGTCGATACTTTTATGTCAAGTGTTGATACTTCGATAGTATAATTACCTATTTCTTTGAAAGTATCGATAATTTATTACGCGTACTTATTAAAGTATCGACACTTTAAATATATCCGATAGTGCTTTACCGGTTTTGTCATTTCGAGACCGGTTTTGTCATATTTTTACCTATTATATCGTTGTAGACCAATACATTGTTATAAAATATCGACACTTTATAGGCGCTAAAACTAATTCTCTTTTAAATTCACAAAGTGTCGATACTTATATTAAAGTAACGACACTTTCAATATATTCGGTTGCTCTATACCATTTTTGTCCTTTAGAGACCGATTTTGTCATATTTTTATCTGTTATATCGTTGTGGATTGATACATTGTTATAAAGTATCGACACTTTATAGGCGCTAAAACTGCTTCTCTTTTAAATTCACAAAGTGTCTATACTTATATTAAAGTATCGACACTTTCAATATATTTGATCACTCTATACCGGTTTTTTCCTTTAGAGACCGATTTTGTCATATTTTTACCTGTTATATCGTTGTTGATCGATACATTGTTATAAAGTATCGACACTTTATAGGTTCTGAAACTGCTTCTCTTTTAAATTCGCAAAGTGTTGATACTTATATTAAAGTATCGATACTTTCAATATATCTGGTACGTTTTGACTTTTCTAGACCGATTTTGTTATATTTTTACATGTTATATTGATGCAATTTTATAAAGTATCGACATAAATCGCCGAGCTAAGTTTGTCGTTGTCAAATTTTTTAATATTTCTTCATGATTTAGATCTATTATATTATTATTACTCAATATTTCCGATAATACTAAATCAAATTTATTAAATATCTTTTAATATATCAAATAATATCGTATATCAACCGTATATTAACCTACTTTTCCTTAGACAATCCCGCAACGTGTGGTGGAGCAGAGATGAGGTATCGATGGTCAAAATCAGAGTGCTTATTCCCAGTAAAATCTTGTGATGATTTGCATTCATCACACATCCATGAAACAGACCTCTTTAGATTTTTTTCTTTTTTTGTGCAGTACATGGAATGGCCTCTCATTAGCCATTTGGGCATCATGAGATAGTAGAAAGTAGATCCAACTAGACATGTTAATTGATCGAGTGCTCTATGTTATTTATGTTGTTTCATCTTATGTAAGTTTGACATTTTATCTTAGAAATATAATACCTTTATAATACTCAAGTTTTGAGTTCAAGTTGAGTTTAAATTTAAAAATTTTTAGTCAACCAGAAAACCAAAAAATTGATTAGTAATTATCTAATTTTACAATTTGATCCCTGATTTCTTTATTATATTAAGTTCATTTTTTACTGCATTTCAATCACATACTCCTAAATCATTATAGGATATAAATTTATCTTTAATTATTACTTTTTACAAAAAAAATTATATATTTTTTAATTTAATTCCTCAACATTGCATGTTTTTCTCATTTCTTTAATTTTAAGTTCATTTTTGATCAAATGTGAACCACATGCTCCTCTAACACTATAAAATATCTATGTAACTTCAAATTTTTAACAATAAATATTCAATTTTAACAATTTAATCCTTTATCTTTGTATTATATTCAATTTGACCTTTTTAATTGTACTTTTTTATAAATTATTTATTTTTCTCCATTCTTTGACTCTTTTATATTTTTATCAATATTTAATCGTCAAAATATCTTCTTTGAAGAATAATATTATAAATATATTTTAAAATTTTAAATTGTATTTAATTTATTAAATAATATTAAAATATGAATGCGTAGATCTTATATGGTTATTGGTCATAGAAAATCCATAAATAAAAAAATATATATGCATAATTGTAAATAATTATAATTAAATTTGAACTAAAACTCAAACAATTCGATTCAATCCAAAATTCATCAACTAGACTTAAAAAAATTCAAATAAAACTTATCAATTTGACAATTTTTTTTATTCGACTAGATTGAATACCAAACCCTAGTAAAAAAGTGACCACCATATTCACCAACTCACACAGATGAAAGATGAGTCATGATTTGTGAGACCCGGGTTATCCATTTTTATGCTCGTGGATCGATCTGTTAGTTGTTGGCCACCGAGAACTGGGTCCGGACCCGAAGACCAATTATGTCATCGAACTTGTCTCTACTCGCTTAATCAATGTTTAGGCGTAGTGCAGATGGTTCAGTATTTCAGTTCAGTATTCTGCTTTGCATAGCACCTTATTGAAAGTTTCTTTTCATTGCATCAAAAACACTTTCTATCAGTAGACTTATGTTGAATGCCTGCGGTCCTGAAGTGACTAGAACCAGAATCCGAGGCCAACCAAATGATTCATACAATTATTCTTAAAAGATAAACATTCCACAAGAATCGAATTTGATATCATCATTCGGGTTCGAACAAAAAAAATATAATTATTTGGACAGCTACACATAATGTTATACACTATTTCTTCCCATAACCACACACCAGGAATTAGTAGGCTAACATCATTGTATATACTCTCTACGTAATGAATAACAAAATGTAGCTACTTACATCTTTCGGGGATTGTTGATTGGAACTATTTAGTCCCCCAGTATGAAGCAACTTCATCATAGCTTTTTGAGTGTTTCGTCCGCAAATCAATAACCTGTAGATGTAGTTTATTCATCATCGGAGGTGCTATTTCCTTTGCCACCGACCCAATACTGTTTACTGCAACTAGTATCTTCTCCGGCACGAGGGGACCGTCCTCGTGATCATTCATCTTGGTGTCCCATCTCATGCCTCCGGCAATTTTCCTGACCTTGTTTAAAACATCAACATCGTCCCGGAAAATAATAGCCCCTTCGGGCTGCAAAATGTGATCCATTTCCAGAAGGATGTCTTCAAAGCTACACCTGCATAATCATTTACATGTACAATACAACTGATCAGAAACTATAGATTATGACTTTTAGAGAGTGTATTTAGTGCATAATGAATTTTTATTCCACGAAGTGCCACTGAAGCATAGCTCTTCACTTCATCAAAGGTAACATTTATTATTATTATTTTATTTAATTTTAAAAGGCTTAAATGATGTAACATGGTTACACTGGATGTGTATTGAATTATTTGCTGAAGGATTCCTTTGATTCCTAATAAACATGGCACACTAGAAAAAGATGGATAAAAGACTTGCTTGTTTTGATACAGGCTAACGACACCATTAGCATGGATAAGGTCATTCGTTCTCGGGTATGTAGAGAAACCTTCGCACCTGCAACAAATAAGAAATGAAAATGTCAGAGTCAGTGGGGTTCGTTTCTGAAGTTATATGATATGGCCAATGATCTCCAATGCCCTCTAACTATCAATAGCTCAGCCACTGCAAAGAATTTGAGAGTTTGTTGTCTAAGCTAATTTGGAGCTTCTCTTTCAGTGATACAAGTACCAATCATAGAAGATCAATTGAGACGTACCAATCATGATATATTCCGATTAGACCTCTCTCATAGACAACACCCAAGGTGTTCTTGGCAATTGTGGGCACCACATTCATCACCCAAGACTTTGGTGATTCGAGAGCTGCTGCAAACCCTCCAAGACCAACATTCATATCCATCACGTTTCGGTATCTTGAAGTACCAATCAATCTATTTATCCTTTTGTAAGCATTTACATGCTTCTTCCAAAGCTTGTTGTCCTCTTGGTAAGATTCAGCTGAGGCCCCCTCAACAATTTCTTCGGCTATCCGAGGAGGGACAGCCAAAAGCCTAGCTGGGAATTTCTTCAATTCCCCTCCTGCCACTTCACTTGCACTACTTACTTTAGGGAAAAGGATTACACATGTTTCCATTTTCTTGTACCTAAAACATGCCAAAGAAGAAAGAATTGAAGTGATAGCACGAAAAGAAAATAAGAATAACTTCAGAAATAAACGAGTGAGGCAAGCTCATCAATATATGCATCAGCACCTCGAGGTAACATAGTTCCCCCACCTGGAAATTTAAACATGTTTCCTTTGAACTGTACCCAGTTCTGGACAGCCTTCTCAACTGTCAGGCTTTTATGAGGAACATTAACATAATGGACATACTCTTTGGCCATTCAAATGGTGTCATATAACCTTTGGGTGCTGGGATGAGACAGTGTAGTTTTTCTTGAGGACAGTGCCTTTCCCTGTAAATCATGTTATCCCTAGGAAACTTCATGGCTCGATCTTGCTCTTGGCAAGGAGTGTAATCAGTGTACTTCACATCACAAGGCTTAAACACCCGAGCTTTCGGTTTGTAAGGCTCAACAATCTCTATTGTGATGTGTTTCAAAGTTCAAATTTGTGAAGATGTGCAGTCTGTCTGCTTGGTCACCTCCAATGCTATGCTATCTCCTTTGCCAAAACCACTCTTCTGCCATGCTCCCATAATGTAAAAGAAACCACACAAAGCAATCAAAGCAAATATAGATAGTGGACTCCGCTTTTTGTTGCCTGACGGATTGTGCTTGGATACCATGATTAGAGTGGGACTAATTCCCCAGCGCACGCTGCAAGGAAAAGTAAGTTGGGAGATAATTATTTTCCACAGATCAACAATGCGAAGTTAGAGCTACATATCACATGTAAGAGAAACTAGTTGCAGAGTTTCAATCAACAAATGCCATTAATGACACAGTAGACTTGCCTCAACCAATAATTACCAAAAACAAAAATTAAAGCCAAATATAGTATTTTCCAAAATAACCAAACCCAACTAAAACAAAGGATTTCATGTGAAGCTCATCATCAGCAGTTTGGCATCTTCAGAATTAAATTACCTCAATATATGATATATGACACATACATACACATATACACCTGTGTATAAAGTATGATTTGAGCATTTAGTAACTTTTAACACAAAAAAAAAAAGTGAAACCCAATCCAGTCAAGAATTTAGCAATACAACTAAAGTTTCCTTTCTTTTTCTTTTTTACTTTGAAAGCTCTTAGTAACCCACGTTACTTCCAACAAGCTAAAAGTTCTTTATCACTTACTGATCTACTAAGGAACAGCCAGGATTTACAAACTCAAAATCATTACAAAAAGAACTAAGTACGAATTCCCATAACATAAACCCTCGGAAGTCAACTAAAAAGCAGTCATTTTTATCAAACTGATCTTAACAATTTCACATTATCTTTCAGCTGAAAACACACACACACACACACGCAAACGTAAGAGAAACCGAACGAGAGAGATCCATTAATTAAAAGAAACAACATTTGATAGGTCTATGCAGAACAAATAGTAAAAAAGGAAGCAATATAAGCAGAATAAATAAAAGCAAAAAACTTTGAAGTAAGAAGAAGAAATTTGGATCAAAGGAAAAATACCCAGAAGAAAAGGAAGAGGTCCAAAGCAGAGCCCTTTTGGTTGAATAACTGGGTCTATATCTCTGTAGTACAAAATGAGTGGAGCGTGCTGTAGTGTTGTAAAGCTTAATAATAAAAGACATTGGCTTTACATTGAAGGGAGTGTGTCTTTTGTTTTCTTACCAGAGGTTATTAGGTTAAGATCTAAAACAAGACCTTGGTCTAGTTGAGGGAAGAGATCAGAGTTGATGTACTTCGTTCTATATTTTTAAATCATAAATAGTGTTAAATATATATATTTAAAATACAAAATTTTAAAATTGATTTATAAGTCGGTCAACAAAGTTAAATTTTTTAATTTTTATAATACGCTTTTAGTTTTTATCATCAAATATATTTTTACTTTATAATATTATGTTTAAAATAAAATTTTATTTTTTCAGGAGTTATTGATGATGCTAAACACTTCAATTTAAAAATATCTATTTTTAAAAAATATTATATCACGATACTTTTTAAAATCATTTTAAAAGTAATATTAAATTTTATTCTAAATTAAATTATTTTTTAAATTTATTTACTTTTTAATAGTATGAGTAATTAATAATTATAAGATAATATTTGTTTATAGAATTTTTGTATCCTCTCGGTTTTAAAACTTTACCTTGGCTAATATGGACCGACAGCGTCGCACACATAGCTTTTGTGGGTGAGTCTTCCAACAGGATTTTTTGAGTACACAATGACTCGAACTCAAAAATGATATCAAGTTGTTTATTACTTGAACCGATCTCTATTGGTTGTTTATAGAAGTTTTTTGATCTGTACACATTCTACAAAAGTAATTATTTAAACTCGAAATTTTTAAAAAATATTATTCTCTTTTGTTTATTAATATCATAGTAGAAAAAAAACATAAAAAGTGATAAGATTGCAATAGCATAAAAGAATGTGTGGTGGCATTTTATTTTATTTATAAAAACTTTTTGTCTCGACATCATAAATAAAATTCTAAGTTATTTGTTTCTTATTAAACTTGATGATGAAAAGATAATAGTAAATTTTAAGATATTGTGTAATAATCATAACGTATCATAATATATTTAATTAGGTTAATAAATTACAAGTTTGAAGCATTTATAAAATCTTTCTTAATGCATTGGTTAGCATAAATAGAAATCGGTGGAGAATAACACATAATGTAATTAAATCCATGTGTATTATGATACTACTTTCCTTTTCTTACAAAAGAACGGTAATTATGAATAAGTTCTAGTAGGTGGACAGGTGAAAATAATATTAAAGTTGTCCACGTTAGAGTTTAATTAGTATTTTCAATTTAATTTTGTTTATAAAAAATTTAAATTTAATGAATAATTTTTTAATTAGTTTGAATCAAACAATAAATCAAATTTACAATAATATAATTTTATAGTGTATCTAATCTCTATTCAACCACTTAATTGCTTTAGTGTTGTTCACTTTAATTTTGATATTTTAAAATCTTATTCTTTTAGCATGACGAAGAGTAGAGGTGCGCAAAAATATGTTACTTGAACAACTTGATCTGTTTATTCGATGATTTCATCTAAATATTTTGATATTTGATCTTATTTTTTTCTTGATAATTCAAGTCAAATATTTGATAAAAAATCAGATAATCAAATCGAATACAAATCATGGAATGAATATCAAAAAAATAAATAAGTCTTTAATCCTAGGCTTAAGAATGGATCGAATGGAGGCAGGTGAGAACAATCGCCCCCTGAAAATTTTAGATTAGTATATATTTTAAATAATTTTTGTGTTTTTAATTGATAATCTGTTTTTGTCTCTTAAAATTTTAAAGTTCACCTCTTAATATAAGAACTTACGTCCTTACCTATCTATGTGATCTTGTCGGTTTTTTCGATTGGATCTAAATTATTATTTTAATTATCTAAAATTTTAAATATTTAAGTTTTTGAATGAGATCAAATTCATACTCGAATGTGCACATTCCTAATGGAGGGGTCACGAAGTGCTCACAGTTCAGAGAGTGAAACCTAATGTAAGTCAGATATGCATTCCTGCTGAAACTAAATAGTAAATAGTTTAGACAATTGTGGATATTATCATTACAAGATTTATTCACACAGGAATACAGAATTTGTACAAGCTTCATATTTAGACTGAAGAAATGAATACCAACAAACTTTATCCTTAGATTTTGTTGTACTAATATTAGACAGGTGGGATTGGACCCACTTCGTCACCATGACCGACAGCTGAGGAGCATTAGAAAATGGAAGCGGTGGTGCTTCATGCACATGGATGCATGGGTGAGTGTGACCAATTCGTCAATGAATTTATTATATATATATATATATATATATATTTATTTATTATTAATCTCGACTTTTAATTTATCTTATTTAGTAGTCTTAAAAGTTTTTTCTTATTCAATAGTTTTAATAAATATAAAATTTTTAATTTTACACGGAGTATAATTAAATCATATCCCTTATAATTTTATTTTTCTAACATAAAATTTTATATCAATCTTAATTATGAGTATATCAAATAAGATAGAGGGTTTCTCATGGAAGAACTTGCTAAACTAATGAAAGAAATCTCGAAGAACATGGAGCCTAAAAACTGATGATGTGGTAGATACTAGATCACATTTTGTATAAGTGTGTCTCCTCTAGCAGTCTTAACTTAGGGGTCGTGGGATCGAGTCCCACGGTGAGTAATTCATAATTTAGAGGTCTCTACGGAAGCTGCTCTCAACCTGGCGTTGGGGGCAGCCTACTATCCTACCTCCCCTTTATCCCATTACATATAAGAATAAGGGTTAACTAATTTTAACAAATATAATTAGACATATATTTGTTTTGCTGCAACAGAGGGATGGAATTTGGCACTGTTAATCATCTGCCTATGCTACTGCTCCATGTAGATCTCTCCTTTAATTGGATAATGTAGGAAAATTTGTCTGTTCGAACATTCAACGATGCATGTATTAGTGATATTGACAAGTTCTTGCCGGTCACGCTCGGCCATTGGACGTGCTGGGAGACGCTACTGTGGTAGAGGCGATTGTTAGCACGGCTGGTATTCGTTTATATATTGAAATGGCTGCCTCCAAAGTGATCGTGGAGTGTGACTCGACAAATTTGATTCATAAGTTGCTTCATCGCTATTTTGATCTCTTAGTGGCTAGTTTCTACATGGCTGAGGCACGACGTATGCTCGACCATAATGGCCACATTCAGCTTCGACATGTCTGTCTGACGATCTGCACTCTGCAGACGTTGCAGCCCACTCTCTCACACGTTGGGTTGCTTCCAGTCGTATTTATTTTCTCTTATGATTATCTGCCATGTATCCATGATGTTGTTCGTACTGATACCGATTTCGGCTAATGTTATAAAATATGGTTAACTTTCAAGTATATATATATTAACTATATTATTAGGCTGTCTTGAGATAGGCTAGATCAAGAGAGGGTAAAATGAAGCTTTCATTGAGATGGGTATC